GTGGCAGCAAGTGGGGTGGCGGCGATGGGCTGACGGTGTGTGCGTATTGTGTGTGCAAGGTTTGTGAGTGTGTAATGTGTTTGTAGTGTGTGTGGGTGAATGAGTGTGTAGTGTGTGTCTGTGAGTGTGCAGCGTGTGAGGGTGAGTGTATGTTTTAGGTGGAGTGTGTGAGAAAGAGATAGTGGTAGTTTTGTTAGCGGTGGCCCCATAGGAAAATGTGTAATGTCCTTTTTACCCTTAAGTAATGATCAAATGTGTACATTTGACCATATAATGTACACTTATTTGCGAATTGACATCACATGTTTGACTACAATATTTAATATTTGACTTGATCATGACCACTAATCTACCATTTATTAGGGTTGTTGAATTCCTACCAACTCTCTCTCTCTCTCTCTCTCTCTCTCTCTCTCTCTACATTTACTCTCTAATAAAGACTATAATAATCCCCAAGTATAACCAAACAACCAACCTCGACTTCAAAGGCTGATCTCGTAATTAAAGCAATAAAGTTAATTTCCTTCGCAAATCCCTTTTTATTCTCATACTTATCCATATTAAACTTGGACTAAACCATTATTTAACCATTGACCGTTCCAGTCATCAACAGTTTGGCGCTAGAAGGAGGGCACCATAAGTTATTTGGTGTCAATTTTTGACTTTGTGGAATACCACCATTGATTCCATCCTTTTTCTCACTTTTCCCCCGAAAGTCTGCTAAAATGACTTCATATGGTCAAGGAGAGTCCACACACCAGTCGGAAGGTCAGGCGCGCCACCGTGAGGGTGAGGAGACATCGCGGCGTCGCCAACCGAAGCACCCAACCACGATCGCATAAATCCCAACCTTCGCGACAATCATGCAACACCCAGACATCGTCAAAGTCCTGGAGAGCACCTTCACCAAAGCATTGGCGAGCCACATGGCCGGAGCTACCACAGGTGCCACGACAGAGTATCTAGTGAACACTCTGCTTAAAACGCACCAAAAGGAGGCAGAGGGATGAAAAAAAGCACCAGCCCGGTCTAAAACGACACGCAGCCCTGTTATGATAATCTTACCTCGACCAGGTTGAACTATGCCAAGATGGTTTAGACTGCCTTGATGCCTCTGACGACCTGCAAAACGCCATGAAGGGTCCCGACGAAAAACACTCTGATGCTCAAGTCGGCCCAACGTCCAGTAGAGATATGTTGAGAAAGTAAATTTACACGTGTATGTGTGTTATTTAAAAAGAATGAACCAGTGTCCCCTTTTTTAGTTAGGATTGAGTATTGATCTTAGGATTCCTGGTGAGATAAGAGTTCTCCTCAGACCTCCCTTCTTAAATACCCAGATCTTGTCATATCTGGATTCCTTGAAGGTATAAGTTCCCTTGTAAGAAAGGACTCACTTTTCTTACTTAACACGACTCACTCCTCTTACCGCTCGCATGACTAAAGTCGAGCTGGAGAAGAGTTGTCTGATTAGGATTGTCACGTGGCCTACCTGCCTTGGAGGCCAACCCCGGTCTGTTACCAATTGTAGGCATGCCGCCGAGGTCCCCCTTCTAGGCGGCTTCATACCGTCGAGTTCACCACCCGGGGCCTGCCGCCGACGTGCTCACGATGAGCTGCCGAGGTCTTCGTGCAACCAAGCTTACAAGCCGTTGACTGGGGCTGAGCTCTCTTCATTCGAGATAATTAATCTTCTCATATCATCTAACGTTGCAAACTTCCAATTGTAGGCAGGCCACTGAGGTCCCCCTTCTAGGCAGCTTCGCACCGTCGAGTTCACCACCCCGGGCCTGCCGCCGAGGTGCTTATGCTGAGCTGCCACGGTGCTCGTGCAACCAAGCTTTCATGCCGTCGACTGGGGCCGAGCTCTCTTCATTCGAGATAATTAACCTTCTCATATAATCAAACGTTGAAAACGTCCTAATGACTTGATTATGGGTTCCCCCACATCCTCATCTCCTAGACCGAAACCTTTCTGCTGAGGTCATCTTCCTCAAGCTCGTGTCGAGCTAAAACCTTCACCCCATGGGTGGTCGTGCTGAGCACCGACGGACGCTCACGCCAAGCTCCCTCACATCGTGTGCGGCCTTGCCGCTGCTGTGAGCTCTCCATAAATTACCGCCGTCGCTAATCACCGCAGGAAGTTCGCAAGCGCCAGCCGCACGCATCCGCGAACGCCCAGTCTCAGCCACGCACTGCCCAACACTGGTGTCTGCTCTGAGTGAAGACGCCCAGCGATGCAACCCTGCTCGCATGATGCCATCTTAGTCCGCACGCTGGCCGATATATGCACACCCCGCCTACTTGTTGTGTACGCCTGCGCCCGACCGTCTGCCAACCCATGCGCGTGAGCCCAGATGACCGACGTCCTTGCACGAGGGACCTAATCCACCCAGGCCTAGGAAACGCAGTGCACGCCCAATACACGCTAGCAGCCACCACACCACACGCTCGTCAGCTATAGCCCGCTCCCGCAGAACGACGCTGCACAGCCTGCTAGTGCTAGCCCACGATAAATGCCCGACAAGCAGACGCCCACAACCCACAGCCAGCCTTACAAAGGCCTGCAGCCACCAGCTGCGACCCGACCGAGCCCAGCCCAGTCCGACTGGCCACAGCCCGACGAGCCCTTTGCCTTGGTGATCCGTTCGTGACCCGACGACCTGTTTCCGATCAATGAGGCCTAGTCTGGCTGCCCAACACACTCTACAATTCAGACGATCGCCTACAGAGAAAATCAGAAATGTCTTAGAGTCGAAAAAAAATTTAAAAGGTAATGTTCTAATCTTAACTTTAGATTTTGTTGTGTTAGGATTTATTTCGATGAGTCCAATATTGTGCATGTCGTTGACGTTCATAATAGAAGCCAACATACAAGACACGAAACTAGGATCAAGAAAGAAGTACAATCGAGAACAGTAGCTGGAGCGAACAAATTGTTATCAAGCTCCGGATATAATCCAAAGTCGTTTAGACTTCTCTCCTTCACAAGCTTTTTATAATTGTGTTTGGCGAGGGGAAGTCCCAACAATATGTCGACCTTGGAGGCGAGGTCGTCACTGATCTCCAAGCTCAAATTCCGAACTGAAAGTGTAAACACCAACTTGTTAGCATAGGAAAAAAACACGAAATTAGTGAAAAGAAAAAATGGAAGGGCTTACTCATTCCGGTTGTAAGGTGCATAGGGTCATATCAGGAGGCATCCTCCGTTCGCAATTCACCGCCGACCCAAAACCACTAAGGCATGTAACCATGCAGAGTCTCAGGCAAATCAATGACCAGTGACTTGTCCATGCTGGGAAACATTGAGCTATAAGAGAATCTCTAATACTCTAATGTGTTATAGAATAAATTTTGACAAATGTCAATAATTTAAATGGATTGTGAACCATGTAGAAAAAATGTTAAGTTTACAACTATGGAATTGAAAAATTATCTTCAATGCACATTGTAGTCTAAGTACAATATTATTACTTACCAAATATTAAAATGTAGTAAGAACATTAATTGAATAGTTTAGAATTGGTAATAATAATTCTCTCTCTTCTCATTATTGGCTAGTTAGAGTGTGAGGAGAATGTAAATGAACCATATTTTTCTCTACATTGTAGACATTAATTATTTCCACATCATCACAACATTTGTGATCACATTGTGCATTGGAGGATGAAAAGTTGCGACATTGCTAAATATGTTGATGGAATATAATTTACCACAACAACATTTGAGCATTGTATATGCTCTAATAGTTGTTGAAGTCCCCTGACTTCTTGAAAGCAAATAAGGCTCTAACTTCATCACCGGTGGGATCTGACCACCCTTGCCTCCGGAACATGATGATCAAGGCAACCAACTTTGCAAAGACGATCGACACTAGTTGACTAATGCCGATGCCAACCTCACAGAGGATGTCTAACGCACCGGGTAGAGAAAAATAGAGGCCCATGAGAATGCTGTAATGCCAACCTCCGGAACATGATGATCAAGGCGGGCAGTGCATGCGCTCCCCGGGGTAGGGTACAAACACTCGGACCCTGGGCCCGAAGTTGTCCTTGCCCCTCAATTGGCCATGGTCAACATCCTTCAAAATAGACGGGGTGATGAAGGCCCTCTGGTCGATAAAAGACGCCCAGACTTACGGAGGTCAGCGCCAACAGCCCGAGGGAACGAAAGTCATCCCTTCGACCGGAGATTCGGTCTTTCGTCATTCCTGCCCATCGGAACTCGTTCCTGACCTGGGGCGCCGCCCTACGATGTCTCATCGACAAGATTAAGATCGACCTCGGAATCGCTGAGGAAACCAACATCGATATCATCCTCTTGAAGGCGTTGACATGATCGAAAAGAAAAATGGCGGAAAATAAAAGCGAGAAAGTAAAATTACTGAAAAAGAATACGTCGGAAAAGATTTGCAAATTGGTCGGAGAAGTTCTCACTCTGAAAGTTCGTGGGCTCAGAAAATCGTAGAAGGTAGAAAAGCCTGAAAAATTCTAAGGATCCCACATATATAAAAGAGTTCGCCCAATCAGAGGATGTCGTGTGGCAGGCGTTTGAACTTCGATATTCAAAAAGGTGCAGACGATTGACATATGACAACTACTGCATTTAAAATTATGGTTGGGGAGCCACCACGTAGACGATAATTGAACTGATGCGCCTTTTGAGGAGGACATCCAAGCATATGACGCACACCACATTAAATGACCGTCCTTTCAACTGGCGTCATCAATGCTCAGTATTGTTAACGCGGGTCCGACCCATGCGCTATACGAAAGACGAGCTAACCAATCAACTCGAGCCTGATCACAAACGGACGACTCAGAAGAAATGTCGAGGACATTCACCTTGAACTCGGGGCTTGGTATGTTGATATCCGAGTTGATCCATGAGGGACCCACAAGCCGAGAACATAAACCCAGTCGAAGTCGATCCTGAAAATTAGGCCGACGCCAGGATTGTAGAAGATCCGGGCTCGACAAAAAGTTAGATTGTTGGGAACTATGCGCAGAACGTGTATCTCAGAACGGTGCTTCAACGTCTGGAGGACGATGTCGACCTCCATGAACGCCGAATCAGGAAAGAAGACCTCGAGGGCTGGGAGGTAAGAGTAGCCCAAGTCATGGTGGGAGTCCGACCTGGAGATTCATCAACACCGACCCCAACATGCACTCAGAGCCTAGAAATAATTAAATATTGACACTTGTCAAGTGATCATTGCCAATGGGATGCGTCACCCTATCCTGCAACCCTACTACTTGTAAGTTCGTAGGGCGACCTGTCAGCATTAAATGCTCCACGTGTGTGCATTTAATGCCAGATAGGTAATCATTAGCTAAAACCTCAAGTCTCATTAAATGCTTGTCAGAACGACGCCTAACCCCTCATTTCCGATTACTGTATGAGGTGATGGAATGAGCAGTACCAGATTAGTGTTACTATAAGTAGGAAGATCACTCATTTATTAAGGTTGTTGAATCCTTACCCTATCTCTCTCTCTCTCTCTCTATATATATATATATATAATTTTAAAATACTTTTTTCATTAATTTTAAAATTTAAAATTAATTTTTTTAACAAACACACGAGTAATACAAGTGTTGTACTAATTATACAGAATTAAAATATTGTTGGTCAATTTTTGACTTATATAAAGAATAAAGCTATATTGAGTACAGATTGAAATGATCTTTTAACTCCTATATACTACATTTTAATTAGACAAAGCCTAGCAAGTGCAGCTTTAGTGCAGCAGCAGCTTATGGGGGATCACAGATGAGGAATCACCATTAATATACAAGAAATTGTACTAATCTTATGTTTAGGGTGTCTCCAATGGTTAGCTATTTGGCTAGCTATTATGACGTGGACAGGGGAAAAGTAAGAGAGAGAGTAGTCACTAGCTACTAACAAATAGCTTATCTATTTCACGTAGCCCAATATTATGTGAGAGGAGTATGTGGGTCCAATAGTGTAAAATAGTTATTTTTTTTTATCTCTCACATCCATGTCAGCTGACTATATAGCTAGTAATAGCTATTACCATTGGAGATGCCCTTAAATTACTACTTCATTCCCGCATGATTTACTATTTTTTTAAAAGGAAAAATCAATTAAGCAAAGCGAGAGAACAAAAAAGATGCTGCAACCATTATTAAAAGAGGAAAGCACATTTGTAACTGTGCACAAGAAAAAAAAAAAAAGAACTTTTGCTTTTAATTGCTCTCTCTCTCTCTCTCTCTCTCTCTCTCTCTCTCTCTCTCTCTCTCTCTCCCCACATCTTAAAAGAGATTCGCTGTCTACTACAATCTCTTTTCTGAAATTCGTGCTCCTCCCACACACAACTGTGACGCTCCTTTGTTTTGTTTTTCAGGATTTTTATGCTTTTAGCTTTCTTGAAAATCCCCCCACCAAGCTACTAACCCATGATAATGGCCGCTTGATTTGCATCTGGGGTGAATTTTCTTTTCCTTTTCAAATTGTATATTTTGCTTTTAAAACAAATGCTCGGCATTGAGCTCCGAGCTTCAGCAGCTTGGTGATGAAAAAAATGATAAAAATGTCGCCTTTACTCGTGATGCAACGCATATAGCTAAGATCGCCGACCATTTTCATGGCTCATGCTCCGACCAGCGGTAAAAATAACTCCTCAAATGCCGGTGCTGAAACCGAAGCGCAGCCCACGACTTTCCATGATTTTCTCGGCAACAAGGGCCAGGAATCTGCTCCGGCCGCCGATAAAGGTGACCGGCCGCCGCCGGAGGTGTCCCCGTCCTCCATTTCTGATCTGGGTTCTGGTAATTGGATGAAATTAATAGTGAAGCGCAACCCCCCATTATCCTTTTTTCTTCTTTTTATTTTCCCTTCATTATCTTTTCTGAAATTTTTGGATTGGGTTGTGGAGTGATTTGTGCTATCTGACTCTTTTTATTGTCTCTATTGTCTGCTTATTTTGTTTATTCTTAATGTATTTCAGTGCATTTACCCAATTTCTGGAATTAATGACATGGTGAACTTGCTTTGTTTTGGGTGTATCAATGTTTCAACTGGAGTTATGATAAAGCATTACACTAGGCATTGCTGACTTCTTGTGTCCGGGCGAGATCTTCTGTTGTAAAATGTTCTTCTATAGGTTGTCTGATTAACAGCTTATTACTATAGGATGAAAATCACCATAGTAAAATCAACAATGAATGCTGAGAAAATTGACTTGGTAACTTTCATACATGTGACAAATCATTGGTTGTGGTTGTTTTACTCTTCACCGCTCCCTCGTTTGTGCATTTGATCTTTGGTGCGTTTTGGCAAATTCGGAGTTGTTTCGTGTGAGTTCAGCGGTGGATTAGTTCCTTGTTTCATTAGTTATGAGGACAGATGTATTTTCAGTTTACAAAATTATTGCTGATTTTGTACAATGAATGTTTGCTGAAAGGCAATTGAACCTAAAAAAAGAAGAAAACAAAGTGAAGAAATGTAATTTTCCTTCAGCAGAAACCTACTGAAAATTACTCAAACTGCAATGCTAGTTTAATTGGTGCCATGATTTTCAAGAGTTTGATGTCCACTTTGGAAATCTGAAACACTATTTTCATTGTTTTCACCAAACAAATTATGGCAGAAAGGAACACCGGTAACCATTTGGAGGGGATACCATATTACGGGTCAAGAGGTGACATCTCTGGGCTCGAAAGCGGCAACAGGTTCACGGGCTACAAGCGAAGTAATTCCGATTCTTTCATGACATTGTCCAGAGATAAATTCCCTCATGGGCCGCAACCCGACTCCCAAGATAGCCCGCTTTTAACCAAAGTGAGTTCCTTTTTCTGAAAATCTTTTGCTGCCTCATAGTCTCATTCTGAACTAATATTCTTAATACTTCGGTCTGCCTCAGCTGCTTCGGTACTCAAGTGGTGAGGGCACGATACGCCCGCGTGAAGAGGAAACACCATTTGGTGCAATGCACCAAATGCGTCCAATCACGTCCTCTTTTATATCTCAATCCTCGGGCCGAACGGACACTAATCCATCCAAATGGAACCCTGGGCACACACTGCAGTATCCTCCTCGCGTTAGTCAGATCGTGCCTTTTGGATACCATCAGGGCCCGGGGAATCGGGCCAAAGAGGCAAATGCGGGCCTGCCTCTTGTGTCACAAACCGCAGCTGATGAAGGGTCGAGGACCGGGATTAAAGGGTCTGCTGGGATTTTGAGCTCGATTGGTGCAGCTGGGCCCATATCTGGGAGGCAGCCGGCTGGTGTACTCATAACTAGTGGTAAACAAAAATCTGCTGTGAGCATATCGGAGCCCGAGTCCTCAACTAATCCCGGGTTAGTTCGGGGCTCGATTTGTCATCTATTTTTTCTTTTCACTTTTATCTCATTTGTTGTTGTGCGGGTTTATGGTAAATCCACAGTGAGGTCTGATTTGGGTAGTCATTTAACTTTTGTGACAGTCGGCATGGGATGGAATCCGGTGGTCGTCAGATGACTATCTTTTATGGTGGTCAGGCGCATGTTTTCGACAATGTTCCCTCCAATAAGGTTTGTTCCTGTTTATTCTTCGAGTGTTTCTACTGATATTTAGAACTGATTAAGTTAATGCCATGTAAGTTTCCAATTTCACGTAAACCGACTGGCTACTAGTTTTAAATAAATCAAATGCAATTTTGAAACTTGTACTATATACTAAACTAAATCAAAATCTTAAAACTAGAATAGACTCTGGCTTCTGCTTTTGCATACCGGACATTTGGTGTGTGGAGTAAGGGAGTATCACCACAAAGCTGATAAAATGAGCCATGGAATCAATATTACTACTGTCATTTGGATGTTCTGTGGAGGAATTGCTGCCATATGATTTGATTCTTTATCCTAGTCTAGTCATTGTCAAAATGTATTAGTTCAAGCAGATGAGACAATATACACGGTCAGGGAAAGTAAATAATATGATAAATATTTTGGTGATGAATCTTGATCTGACTCGAGTACTGACAGTCGCTCATATTCAGGTTCGTATGCCTATGAAAATAAGTTCGAACACTAAACAAAGAGCAACAATTTTGAAAGCTACTCTTATGGTTCAATGCAAATTACGGATACCGAGTTATCTATCACAGTTACAAATACACATTTGGCTCAAACCTGTGCACATCAAGTGGTTTGGGCTAATTACTAAACATACCCGAGTTTTCCTTAGAATAATGGGAAGATCCTTTGAAGTTTGATCTGTAGCACAACCACATAAGCCAAATTAGAAAAACGTGCACTTCAAAACTTGACGGAATACTTTTACTAGTTTTTTATACTGTAGTCATGCCTAGTTATAACTCAATACTCAACATTCTGTATCAATTTCTTGAATCTAATTGATACTTCTTAAAATCATTTATTTTTTCCCCCATGCACCACATCAGGCAGATGTTATATTGGCGTTGGCCGGATCAAACGGCGGATCTTGGTCAACAACCTATAATAAGCCTAACTCGACCGGAAAGGCATTGGCCAGCGACAACTCGGAAGCCGCACTTTCTATATTGAGAGAGCTGCACGCCAGGCCATCAGACAAATAGGTCTCTTTTTTCGTCAAAATTACTCTCCCTACTTGTTTTGTTTTAAGCCTTGCACTTACTTGAAAGACAAGATCCAAATGGCTGTTGACGAATTATCGTCCCAACTTGTTTAACTCGACAGTGTGAATGTAGCTTGGAAGGAAAAAAGGTTGATGAGAAGGAACGAATGATGACTCATTATATTATTTCGAGCTTTTAAACGAGAGCTTTCTGCTTTTGATGATTGTCTGGTACTGTTTTGAATGGCTGTTGAGATCCAAACGATAGTTATCATCGATTAACTTAGTTTCTCGTTGTGCATTGATGAGTCCGGCTCACGAGGAAAATGAATCTATTGCTATCTGCAACTGCTTTAGCAAAAACTAGAATTACACACTAGAATTTATCTGAGGCTGAATGATAAAGGTGGGAGAATTTGAAAAACTAAAATAGAAATAAGGATTAGAATAAGAAAAGAGGTGAACTTTGAACTGAGATATTGGCATTGTGGATGCGTCTTTTTTTTTTTTTTCCCAACAACAAACAAGCCATAAAATTAAACTCAGAAAATATGTTTGTACATCGAATACCCAACTGAGCATATGCTAGACATTAACCCACACAAATGGACCAACAACAAGCTATGAGTACCCACATTAGGGCCCCTTACAAGCCTTCAAGGCTAAATCTAAAGCAGAAATACAAGCAAACTTATCATAACAGAAATAACAATCTAGGAAATAATCAGCAAAAGAATGGATATCAGCAACAACAGCCATCACATGCCATGGAACTTCATCCATCTGGTTCAACATATGAGCCATCTGTGAGGAATCTATTCTGCAGCATAGGGATTGTGAAGGAGAATATCAAGATTATCGAGATTATCGCAGTGAATACCACTCAGCTTCCAGCAGGACACAGCCCTTTGACATTTAAATAGAATATGTTCTAGATTTTCCACCTCCTCATCACCACACATCATGCAGATACTATCAACTGGAATTTTCTTCTGCAACAATTGGCAATTAGTGCTCAAGAAACCGTACCAGCATTCCATATGAAGTTCTTAATCTTGCTTTTCACTGGCAGCTTCCATGTCTTCCTCCATATATGTTGCATAGGTTTATGACCTGCACTGGAACTGGCTGTTTTTTTGGGACTGCAGATGCTGCTCAAGCAGTAGTTTGTAAAATTCTTTGACAGTGAACACTCCCTTAGGATTCCAGTGCCATATCAGTTTGTCATAAGCACCTGCATGGCTAATAGGGATTTTTAAAATAACATCAGCCTACACAAGAGAGAATGTTTGTTTGACCTTGTCCTCATCCCACTCTACATTGTTACTTTTGAACAGCTCACAGACTTTTTTGATTCTCAGCTTATCATCAGGGAATTGTAAACTTGGACAAAAGCTAACATCAATTGGGAGCCAAGGGGAATCCCAGACATCAATAAGCTTCCCATTCCCAACCTGGTACCTCACTCCTAACTTTAAAGATTTTCTGGCTTGGAGCCAGCTCTTCCTAAGCCAGGAGTCACTACTTCTAGCAGACACCTCAAAAATTTTCTTTTTCCAGAAATATTTATTTACCTTTAATCACCCTACTCACCAAAAGATTAGGATTTGTAATGATTCTCCACAACTGTTTAGTCAGAAGAGTCTCATTAAAAATCCTAAAGTTTTTAAACCCCATACCTCCCCAGTCCTTAGGCTTGGACAAGACCTCCCACCCACACCAATGAATTTTACTCCTACCACTCTCAGAGTACCAGCCCCCCACCAAAATCTAGCAATTTTCCTACAAATGTTATGGCACACAGACACAGTGATTCTAAAGCAGGACATTACATAGGTAGGCATGGCTTTCAAAATAGATTAAATAAGAGTTTCCTTCACAGCCTCACTCAGGAAACAATTTTTCCAGTTGCTCACTCTACTCACCACATACTCAGTGACAAATTTTAATGTTTCCTTCTTGGATCTTCCAATACCTAGGGGAAGGCCTAGATATTTAGAAGTTTTCACTCTAGAGATCCCATTCAACACAAAACAAATATCAAGATGCAAGTTTTCAGGGGCATTTTTGGAAAAGAATACAAAAGATTTATCAATGTTAACCACTGACCAGAGGCATCCCCATAATGCTTAAGAATTTGAAGAAGAGTAGTAGCATAATGAATATCAGCTTTACAAAAGACATGGAATCATCAGCAAAGAATAAGTGATATGGTCAAATTATTGGATGAATCCATCTGTCATATTTTGTAACAAAAAATATATTTTCGTTTCATCAAATGTTATACATCTATTATACATCTGTTTATATTATTATTAAAGTATGATCTTTTTCTAATTAAATGTGTATGTGTACAAATAATATGTTGACCTAATGATTAGTTGTCTGTGATGTCCATAATATGCCCACCGCTTTTTTCCCTAGTGTGTATATTTAGGCGTGAATCGTGATGTATACTACTCCTATCATTGTCTATACAAAAGAACATTTTCAAAAAGTAGTTATATAGGTTCTAACCTTGGTATTCACCTTGACATGGCTAACTGGTGGGTCGGTTCACGATCCGGCCCGGCCAGACAGGATGTCGGGCCTCAAAACTTGGGCCCGAAAGTGGCCCGGATGTAGGTACGGGACGATTCACAAGCCCGAAAATTTCGAGTTAGGTCGGTGAATTGGCGCTTCGGGGTCGGTCGGTTCATAGAAAAAAAATTGAACTTCTCCAGAGTCGGTTCTGGCTCGGATCGACCTGGCCCGTCGGGTCATAAAATTCATACAGAAGGCCCAGAAAAGGCCCGGTCAATTACGGGCTCAGGTTCGGGCCCGTTAACCACGTGTAGGTTAAGGGACGGGTTGTGGCCATGCCTATATTCACATTGTTGCTACCTTCTTTCTTTCTTCCTTTTCTATTTTTCCATTCTTTTTTTCCCTTTTTTATTTATATAATTTGGATTTTCTCAATGCTCACTGGATGGTCCAACAAAGAAAATTTTAAATTTGAATGAGTAATGTCTATGATTCTACAATTGCTCAGTCCTATTCCGACCATCAGTGATGATCGTCGCCGGAGCTTCTCCTCGACGTTCGGTAGAGAACGGTGTCTCGCTTTCCCTTCCTCTAGTTGAAGATCTGCACTGAGGGCTTTTCTTTTGCGTCTGGTGGAGGTCGGGTGTTTTCAGGTTGCCGATTTTCCCCTTTTTATCGTAGGTATTGATACCTGATCTGACACCGGTATAATTAGCTACACGAGGCATCAAAATCATTGTAACACCCCACTTTGATTAACGAAATTATATGATTTTTCAGAAAAATCAATTTAATTTTACAATACTTATTTTAATTATTTGTGGCGTTACTCATTTATTTCCCAAGTCATAATAAGCATCATCGCATATATCACAATACACAGTCATAGCAATGACATCAAAACATAATCCAACACCTTATCAAAGGTTTTTTCCAAAGTCATAAACACCCAAATCAGGTTTTCAATCCCAAGTTTAAAAGACATAGCAATGTCAAACGGGGCATCTCCCCAACAATGATTCAAGATCAATATAAATAACCAAAGTTCAAATATCCAAAGTTCATAAATAAACCAGAGTTCAAATAATGCGGAAGCAACACAAATAACGGTCAAGTCATCAAGACTGACCACCACTTGTCTCGTCTCGCCGTGCCCGTAACCTGCTTAACATGCATCTGGGGGGGGGGGGCATAGGGGTGAGCACAAAAATCCACTTGCTCACCACTATGAACATAAATAACAAATATAATAATAGAGGTAAGGTCGCAGCATGAACACGAATCAATTATTTATCTCATCTCCTATCCAAGGTCATACTCATGTGCACACCCAATGATAGATTACTGAATGGCCTTACATCGAATGTCCCACTATGTAGCCTTACATCGAATCCCATACTAGTAGGAGTAAATGCCGAATGCCCCTCGATGTGGCCTTACAACGACATCATACCGAATGCCTCAACATGTGGCCTTATAACTATATGAGGAGACTGCCTATACAAGGCACATACCACGTAGTTGGGGATAACCGTTCGACGGTCGGTACAACTCACATCGAAGGCTACATGGTTCACATGCATACATAGATCATACCATACATATAACATCAATTATTCACGACATTGATATTTTATAAATAAACCCACTTGGATAATTTAGCAGAAAAAAGCTTGCGTAGCAGTGTAGGTTGAGAGGTCGGCTCGCCAGACACCTACATTTTTATCAAGATAGATAGTTTCATAAATACACTACCTTGACACTTAGAATTTATTTCGAGAAATCATACTTAGTCGAACATTATCGACTAAGTAGTTCGTAGATTTTTTTGTGGAATTTGGAACTCTCAGAAGATTGGAAATAATACTCGAAATAATGTTCACGAGGTTAAAATTACGGTTCGGCTCGAAAACAAGTTGAACGGCCTAAAAACGGACGGGTGGTAACATAAAACTAAGTTGCTGAAAACTGGATAATTTTCTTACGCACAACCCAGTAAAACGAAGATAACTTTTGATGTAGAAAATATTTTGGCCTGATTTTTAAAGTTACGGAAAGCCAAGAGATAAGTCTACATTTTTCGTGCAAACCTCGAATGCAAACGAGCAAGTTAAAGGGGTAAAAACCGATTAACACTAAACCACAAACTACAACCCAATTTGGCAAAAAAAGTGCTCGCGCACTTATCGAAAATCGAACGTAACTTTTTATATAAAAATGGTATTTGAATAAATCTACGCAAATAGAGTAAGAAAAGAGGTGAACTTTGAACTGAGATATTGGCATTGTGGATGCGTCACTTTATGAATTTTACTAAGCGATATGGTCAAACTATTGGGTGAGTCCATCTGTCATATTTTGTAACAAAAAATATGTCTTTGTTTCATCAAATGTTATACATCTATTATACATCTGTTTATGTTATTATTAAAGTATGATCTTTTTCTAATTAAGTGTGTATGTGTACAAATAATATGT